GAGACTGAGGAGAAAAACAAGAGTATTAGGGATTTTTTTCCTGCTTTGTTTACCATCTATTCAATATCTATAGAATCAATATCAGTTGTAAGGTCTGCTCACCTCGATGGTCCTCTGGCGGTCGATGCCAAGTGTGTTCATGATGCCCAGCACGGGTTCACTGTAGTCGCCCAGGTTGGAGTTGTACTCCGTCAGGGAGTGGCTGAGGGTCTGGGTGGCGGCTGTCGGGTCGGCCAGCATCCAGCGGTGCTGCTTGATCTGGGCCACACTGATCCTCCTGGCCGGGTCCACCACCAGCATCTTGCGGATCAGGTTTTCACAGTCTGGAGGGCGGGAATCGAAAGATTGAGTTTTTTTGATTTTGTGCTCCTTGAAAAATGGAAATAACTGGAGGACGCAGATTGACCTTGAACTAACTCCTAAACCTGACTCCTTCTGTTTTAATGTAATAATGCAAAAATGTGACTCTTTGACCTTGCCTGTTTTGTTTTTGTTTTGTCTTTTAGTATGCATTCCTGTACTCTTTTTGTTTCTCATGTGTAAGTCTGTGCTTTTTTCCTTTTCTTTGTGATATATAACACGTAAAAATTCAATAAAAACTGAGTTAAAAAAAGAAAGAAAATGGAAATAACTGATTGTTAACAGAAATGTCTTAATGTGTTTGCTTTCATACCTTGAGACATAAAGAAGGGGATTCTGAATCCCTCGGTGACTCTCTGTCTGAGAGCAGGAAGGCTGTGTCCGTCGAATGGAAGAGATCCACAAACGAGCACATAAAGCACGACTCCAAGACTCTGCGAGGTAAAAAAAGCAGAAAAGGGGAACGTTAGCCTTAGGAAAACAATCATGCTCGACTGCGTATTTAGGTCTTTAAATTCCTTGTTTAAGCTTACCCAAATGTCCAGCTGAGGCCCCTCGTACTCTTTCCCCTCGAACACTTCGGGGGCAGCGTAAGGCGGGCTGCCGCACCATGTGGACAGAGGCTCCCCAGCGTTGTAGAAGTTTCCAAACCCAAAGTCTGCAGAAACCAGGCAGAGAAAGACATGAGTCCCCAAACAATGCAATGTTTGTTTTCTCCCTCATTTCAATGTGAGGAGCTTAAGGCTCTGGAATGTACATTTTCTGTTTTATGTAATTAGTCTTTACGATCTTCTGAAAAACTCAAAGTTCAAGATCATATCGAGCCAGCGTCAACACATCATCCACAAAGGAGTAGTTGTCTTTGTACTGATCTGACATGGAGGCTATAAAATATCTTCATGCAGCAGTGTTTGTTTGTGTACTGGAGTAAATTCCTCTGGTACGTTTGAGCCTTGTAATGTGATTGAATTATTTGCACTTCATTAGCACAGAGACTGCAGCAAAAGGATTTAATTAGAACGCTGTAACATTCCCAAAGCTAAAAAAACTTTCTTCATCTGAGCATAAATACAGACAGAGTGTATCAGGCTTTAAACATCGGTTTCTAATTAAACTAAGAAAAACACTATCTCACTTCTCCCTGACAGAGCAAACAGTAACCATGATTACAATAAAATGTTTTGGAGTTGTTGTCCTGACCTTGTCTGTTTGTTTTTATGTATATGTCACCAGTTTGTCACTCTATTGCACCTAATAAAAAAAATTAAAAATGAAATGGAAGACCTACCAGCCAGTTTGATATTCATATTGGCGTCCAGCAACAGGTTCTCAGTTTTTAGGTCACGGTGAACGATGTGGTGTCGGTGGCAGTAGTCCACAGCTGTGAGAATCTGCCAGAACTTCTTCCGCGCCTCGTCTTCACTCATACGGCCGTTTGAGGTCAAGTGGTCTAAAGGGAGAGGATGTTTTAGTTTAGCATTTAAGACTGAAATGTTAAGGCGATCTACCAATCAGAGTATTTCAATCAACAGTTTAAATTTAAAGATGAAAAATAAACTCACCAAACATTTCTCCATTCTTCGCATACTCTGTCACAATGTACAGCATGTCTTTGGTTTCCATGACCTAAGAGAGAGAAAAAAAGAAGGTACAGAAGTTTAACCATTGGGTCATAAGCAGCTGCTGACGACAGAGTAAATCCTCTCCAAACATCTTTGGGTAGTGGACATTTTCTACCCACAAAAAAAAACCCTTCACAAAACTTTTTCCATCCTCACAGAGCATCAACACCCGGTCTTTCCATGAGATGCTGTCTGTGACTTGCACTTGTTGTAATGTTTTAAAAACCCAATTACACATGTTGACACAAACCAAGAAGAGGGAAAGGCATACAAACATTTTCTTGCAGACAAACTGACGGAAAGTTTTCCCAAAGGCTAGCACTGTTTGGAAACGGATACTAGAGTTGAATTTCAAGCTTCTCTTATCTCATTATTTCTAAAAAAAAAAAACAGAGAGCCTGATTCACACGAGCTGTTCACATGAGTCCCACCTTGTGTATCCAAAACCACCAGAAGTGCAACCACTCAACGCCCTGGCACTATGCTGGCCTGAAAAACGCAATTCCCAGTCCTTTTCCTGGAGCTCATAGAAGGCCTAAGTTTCCCAGGACAGCCCTCGGGACGGGTCAGGTGAGCTCAAAGGCTGCACAAAAAATGCAACATTCATCTCATGGCAAAGCCCTGTGTGTCTGAGGCTATTGTTTATTTTAAATGTCATTAAATTCCACTGATCTGTTCCAGTTTTTATTTTATTTTCTCCTCTTTTAGAAAAAACCAAAGCACGGAGCGATTCAATGCACAAACGCCTCCGAGCTATGAGTAGCTAATCTGTGAGATAGGGCAGCTCTCTGCGGCACTGTCACCTTGAGGTGCAGCTGACGTCATTGCTCTGAAGAAGAACAGGCATGGCACATCAAGAGCCCTCAAACCTTCACAGAAGGTTCACACATTTTCCATTTTACCTTAAGGAAGTTTACGGATGTAGGATGTTATAGCTGACCTGTACTAGGTGAAATATTTAATGCCAAGACTCCTTGTTTTAATTTTTTGCACCTTTAAAGCAAGTCAATTTTTAGATATCTTTGCCTTTTACACTCATTTCCCACAATTTAAACCTGACAGATATGGGAACCTTGGGTATTCTGGGATCTTGAACAACAAATCCTGTCTTCACACAAGATAAAAAAAGATGTTATGCTGACTGCCCCACCAGAGGGAGAGTATAGGACTTAAGAGGGATAAGAGGGGAGAGTGTGATTGATACAAGGTCAAAGAGAGCACTGTGATCCTTGGCAAGAGAAGAAAAAACAAAAAACATTTTGCTCTCATGAATAAAAGCAGCGTCTGATTCATCAGGCAGGAGGTCGCAGGACTTTTCCTTTGAATCACAAGATGGTCTTATGCCACTGACTTCCCTTTGTACAGGGGGAAAGGAGGATGAAGGGCGTAACCCACCGTCACTGAGTAACAACCATCTGACTAGTTTAACCTCATTCGACCTCAGATTCATGACATGAACATGGGACAGGGACAGGAACATGAAATCCACTTTCCACTTGAACCCTTTCATGTCTAATGGAGCACGATGCAACTGAGGCTGTGAGATCTTAAGCCTTTGATAGCAAATAGCAAAAAGCGTTTGGGATTTCTTCTTTGACATGAGATAGAATTAAATGAACATGTGTTAGATATTCATAATTAATCGTATCCATTACGTTCAGCATTAGATATTACTATATATCCTCTGCATGTCTTTATTTGTTTTTAAAGGGGATAAACCCTAAGTAGAGGTTCTGTTTGGTGGAATAACTAGTATACTCAATGTGTAAAACAATAAGCAAATGTGTGCTTTTCCATGTGTGTTATGGCTGGAATACTTTGATGTAGTAATCTAATGTTAATCCCTAATTTTATTTCTAATTCCTTAATACATTTAAATGCTAAAAAATTCAACTTTTTTTTTTTTTTACACACATACAAACTGTGAAACACTAGTCTGAATTAAAGCACCATAACACAGCATACCCAACAATGCTTCTAAGAATTAGTTTATAATACAATGATTTATTTATTTCTATCATTGAATTAATTATTTCATATTCAAAAATTATCAAATATAAGAAAAATATCCAATGCAATTCAAGATGGCACAGGATCTTTTTTTCTATTGCATGTTTTATCTTAGTTATTGTATAAAACACAAAAATGTTAGAAAAAAATTAGTTATATAAATATTTGCACATTATTTTACTAATAGTCACCAAATAGCTAAATGGGCACCTCTACAGAAAAACTGATGTGTCAGTATCACTAAGCGCTACTGTATGTGATGGAAATAATGCTGAGGTTTCTAAAAAAAATAATAAAAGAGTGGACAAAACAGCACAAAAAGGAAACTGTTAAAAATAAAACAAAAAAAGTCCAGGTTGTTTCTTTTTGTGTGGGTGTGTGTTTGTGTGTTTGCTGCCAGACGGGTGCCACGGCTCTCTGAAGGCCGGCTGAGAAAGAAAGAAAGCCGATTCTTTTCTGCTAAGTCCTCAACTTGATTAGGAGCGAGGCGGTGCATGCTTTGTGGGGTTTCCTTCACGTGACGCCCAGACACATTGCACTTGGCTTTAACAGAAGCTAATCAAGCTTAACGTTCAGACATGTGGACATCTTTCACCTGCTTCCCATTTCTCTGAAACCATATTACTTCAAAACATTCTAGTTATGCATTTTTCTCCCAGCGCTGACCAATCGTTGTCACACATGCAGACACACACTGAGGGAGGTCAAAGGGATTGCACTAATGCTGTTGTGCTGTACTTATGATTCAACGTGCCCCGAGTGCCAGCAGCTCACCACAAGCCGATACTATTTTAACTAACAAATAATGCCCCTTCTTTTCCACACATAATGGTCCTGCTGCAGCCACATGTCGACAACAATGGGACGCCATGTCCTGCACCACAACATTGTTTTTAAGGGGAGTTTTTCATTGCACATTTTAATCTTAGGCTCATATATGCACTCAGGCTCCCTGCACACAGAGCTGCTACTTCACAGGTTGAATAACACATGGCTGCACACACACACACACACACACACACATGCATGGCCAATAGCAACACTGCAGAGAGATGAGAGATAACACACACCTGGTAAAGCTTGATGATGTGAGGGTGGTTTAACAGCTTCATAATCTGCACTTCTCTGTAAATTTTCTCCAGGTTGGAAGGGTTCAGTCTGGTCTTGTCGATGATCTTAATGGCCACCTGGAACAAAAAAATGGCCAATTGCAAATTAAAAAAAAAAAAGAGGTAATGACAGAGAAATGATATCTTCACACAATGAAGAGAATGAGTTGCTCACCTGTGTTTTGGTGACTTTATGTCTGGCCAGTTTCACCACGGCAAAGTTGCCCTTCCCCAGGGTGCGGATGATCTCGTAGAAGCCGACCTGCAGAGGCCTTCCCTGTGAAGCGCCAGACGGAGCCGCATGGCTGTTTTCTGTCATGATCACCATGGTGCACCGACAGTCTGGAGTTACAGCTCTAGGATACTTAGGGCTGGTACCTGCTGAGCAAATAATAATTCTGATGAATTCAATGTTTTAATTTCACCAAATATTAACTGATATACATGTTTCAGTATCCAATTTATCCTTAAAAAATGTAAACAGTACAGGCTGAAAAAATGCACATGTTGCATAATATATTAACTGATGAAAAGCAATTATTTACATGTACTTGTGTACAGTATAGTAACTCTTATATATATATATATATATATAATATAGTACATTGTTGGGGTAAGCTACTTCATATAACTTAGCTCCACTACTTTACTTTTATTTTGGCTCATTTGTGGGTCATGCTGAATTGGAGTTTCCTCCTCTTGAGGTTATCCAAGCGTGGATATTTTACACCAGATCTTGATCATGGTGTCATTGGTTTGTGTCTGTTGCTGTCCAGATTGTGTGTTTCTGTTATGACTCAACCTTTCAAACTACAACACTCCCAATGATTCAGAGATAAATTTGACTTTTAATTAAAAACATACACTAATACAAAATATGATTAGCAGTTTTTTGCAGTTTATACTTTTTTTCTACTTAACTGTATTATATAGATATTACCTCAATTTGCTAGCCATTACAAATTACAACACAAGGTTATACTATTCAATAGCAACAGGAGTAATACACTCAGTACATTTTTATGGAACACTGAAACGTGTACTTTGGCAAATTAAAACACACTTTTTATCCGAATACACATCCTGTCTGCAGAGGTACAACAGTGTGAAAAATAAACATTGTATAAGTAAGCAGATGAGTTCAGTCAGAGGAAAGTAACGTTTGGCTCAACAGCCTTATGTGACGTTACGTTTAGCCTCTAATGTTTTAGTAGTTCTAAGTATTTAATAAAGAAGTATTGTACCCAATTAAGCTTTAAAGTGTTAGGCTACATTTTCTATTGTGTTAATGATATAGCCGAAACCCAATTACCAGATATAGGTAGCCCTATCTTTCGACTTCAGGCTAATTAAAACAGTCAACAGAAAGTAAAAGCGGTGATACATTGCTTTAAAAAAAACCACTGTGAAGCTAGAAAAATATAATAATGATCATAAATGAAATATGAGAGGGTATAATGAGAGTCTAGAGGAGAGAAATGTCTCGTCTTACCTTAAAGAGCGGAATTAAACCACCTTCTCTCACAGTTTAGAAAGCTCTCCTCACTGGAAAAGTAAACCATTCCACAACCAGAGCGAAGAAAACAACAACACAGTCAAGAAACAAGAAAAAATAAACTTTTTCCTCCCGTCTTTTACTTTTAGAGGTAAAAGAAACAAAGTGTGAGAGGCCCGGGGATTCGTCTGCGGCCGGTGTGTGCTTGTGCGCTCCGCCGGAATGCAGAGCAGGGTTTCGGCACTCACAAGGGGGGAAACTCCTCCTCCTCCGTTCCCTCCCTCCCTCAGCCGTCCATAACAAATTGATACCCACCTTATTGACGTCACACCCGCGTCAGAGCTCCGAGCTGGGTGCAAGGCAAGGCCGGACCCGAGCGCAAGGCACGGGTTGCCAGGCAACCGCGCGGCTCGGGCGCACGGGTGACGTAAGTGCTGATGGAGGGGTTGCTTGGAGATGGGGTCGGTGACGTCAGTCGTGGAGATGGTGTCACCACGTGATGTTTCCCTTCAGTCGGGCTGTTGCTCGCGGGCTGCCTCGCGCTCTCTGTCCCCCCTCCTGTCCTCACTCAACAGCCTGGCTGCGCGCGCGGCTTTAGAAGAAAGAGAAACAGGAAGTAACTTTTGAAAACAAGCTACAAGTCAGATTGTTTTGTTTCCTTTTAAAGGCTCTCCTGCTCTTTTTCATTTATGTGAAAAGTTATAGGCCTTTAAACTATAAGGTGCTCAAATATATATGTATGCACACGGTTTGAAAATATATATATTTTTTAAATATTGTTTTATAATTTTTAAATTTTTAATAGCTTATTATTTATTAATCCTCTGCCATGAAGCCTATTGTGCTCAAATTATTGCATTTTAATGCCTGCTTCTAAAAAAACGTTATATAGGCCTGTATAATATACATTCAAGCAAAAATAAAAGCAGGGGTTGGGATTTTTTCTCTGACTTTCTAAAAAGTGAAGATTTTATAAAGTGACATAATAATTTCTTTATTTTATTTCTTTATTTGTTAGGGACAGTGCATATTAATGAACAATGTAAAAATGCCCGATTACAGCAGAAGTGCTAGTTTCCATCTGTTGTCCCTAAACAGGTAACAGAGAAAGATAAATTACAAATAAAAGGCACAAGTGACACAAGACAACAATAGAGGTTAAAGGTTAAAGGTTAAAGGTGGTTTTCTTTTATCCACTGTTTGAGGTGTGTTTCAAATGGATAATTAAGTTATGTAGCAATCATTGAAAGTAATTGGTCTGCATTTATAAAAAGTACATAGGCTATACATTACAAGATGTGTTAATCAAGACTGCAGTTTTAGTGTTCATAGTGCATTAGCAGTTTTAAGTTTTATAAACGTGAAATAACATGGTCCAGATGATCTGAAGTACTCTTCTGTACTTCTTTCATAACCTCTTTCAATCCTTTTTTTAAATCTTACTAATAACACCTCGGATATAAAGCACATTTAAATAGTTTTTCCTTCTAACACTTTCTGTTATTTGTGACGTTTTTTCGATGACATATTATAAATGTTATCTGGAATTGCTTATAGCTCGTCTAACATTACAGGTTAAACCATTCTGCACAAAGCCTGTGGGACAGAGAAAAAAAGCTTTCTGATATAACAAAGAAACAGGGTTAGTGCAGACAATGACCACCAAGTAAACACAGGACAACAACGTTCCCATAGTGCTGTTTCTAAAGTGACCCAAAGTGGTTGTGTGAGTGAAGAAAGAAAAGTTGTGCAGCAGGTTACAGGATAAAGATTTTATGTACTTTGACAATGTAAAAAAAACAACTTAATTTGTAGCTGATAAATCCATCAGGGCTTGTTGATGCTGATTTTCAGAAATGCAGAACAGTTCCCTCGAGGGGTTTTCTTCTCCCAGAATGCAGTCTGAAGCCTTATTAAAGGTTTCTCTGTGGAGCTGCCATGTTGCCAATCTAAGACTAATTTATCTTACTTATTTGGTTTTATTTTATCTATTTTATCTTCTGTTTAAATACAATTATGCTGGGAATATCTGGCCTGCAAGATGTTTATACAGAGACCATGAAAAGACACAAAATATGACTTCTGTAACATGTTTCAGAGAGAGGCCATACTGTTACGTTTCAAAGCGTGCATAGAATAAAAAAACTTCTTGCGGGTGAGAGTAAATACCAAACCCCAGCCTCGGAAAGGCAGACAGATCTTACCCTCCCACGGTCTGAAATGTTAAAGGAATGCAAACTGCATGCAAAAAGTCCCAGCTGAAAGGTCATGCAATATTTTGATGCACACTTACAACAAAACCACACGACCCACTCTGCCTCTCATGCAACTGTTTTTATAACCAAATAACCCGTGTGCCATTTGAATATCAGCCCTACTCGCATGTTTTGCCTTTGTTGTATTTCCTGAGTGTGGGCAAGCAGACTTATGTAAACTGAGTCACTTTATGAGCTTGATGAGTGACTTCTTTTCAAGATAAATAAGTGACAAAGCATGGACTAACTTATCTTATCCAGAGTCGGGTTTTTTTTTTGCATTTAATTATTTATTTATTTTAAGAAAAAGTGACTTTTAGATTTAAAGTGAGACTATGTAAATGTCATCAGGTGCTTTAGCTTTCTCGCCTTTTATTCATAAAATTCTCTAAGCTTTATTGGCATAAATGTGACATTAACAATATTGCCAAAGCATCAAATGAAAAGAAGAAATAGCATCAAAGTAATAACGAACAAAAGTATATAGTAACAGTTATAATTATAACCACAAAGGAGAAATATGTCAAATATTTTAATACAAAATTTGAAAATTCTCTCTCTCTTAATTCAATTATATCATCGTCTGATTCCAAGTACCATGTTTTCCATTACCTACTACTTCAACAGCATCATTTTACAGCATGATAGCATAGCCTATCATTAATGATTCAGAGATAATTAGGATTTTACACAAATAAAAAAATAATTTAGGTCATCTTTGATTTTGTAGAAACCATTAGAGGGATAAATAAGAAGATAAAATCTGAATTACAAAGTGGAAAATTCCTCGCTTAATGACACTTCTTGAATGATTTAATGTTTGGTCCTCTTGACTGAAAGACAACAATATTATTTCAATTTAAAGATGTTTGGTGGGTAGAGGACTCATAATCAGATCTAGTGGGGTTGTATTTTGTGTTAATTAACCGTCATATATGAGGACTGTAGTGGCAACTTAACTCAAACAAAAATCCTCTTGCCACTTCTTGCAGAATTTGAAGTTTCTGAAAGGCTACTTTCCAAAAGACACATTTTTAAGTAATCCAAAGATTTAATTCAATTCAATTTAATTTATTTTGTATAGCGTCAACTCATAACAAGTGTTATCACAAGACACTTTACAAAAAGCAGGTAAAATACCTTACTCTTTGTCTGTTAACATTACAAAAGAGCAGGTAAAAAGACCTTACTCATTGTTATATTACAAAGACCCGGCCATCCATCATGAGCACTTTAGCAAAGCAGCAAAAGTTACAGTGGTAAGAAAAAACTTTCTTATTAAAAGGCAGAAATCTTCGGCCGGATCCCCGGCTCATGACGAAACAGCCTTCACAGGCTTTACGACAGCAGGAACACTTTGCAGCAGCACTTATAACCACACAGACCTATAAACACACAATGCTTCAATACATGATAAATATAAACAAATTAAATTAATTCTAAAATTCAAAAGCAAAAACTCTATTAATTATAAACATATAAATACAAAATTAAACTAATGGGCAAATAATATTTTTATATTAACCTGTTGTCCTCTGTGGCTCTAACGAGGACAGTTTGTGTCATTTCCAAAGACTTTGTCAGAGTTGAGAAAGATGTTGAATGTGAGCCAAACCACATTCAAACCCCACCTTGTAAACATTTCCCTCACACGCAAATACATATTCCTGGAAAACAGTTCCTAAGTATTCCTTTTACTATTCCTAAGAACTGCCCTCCATCACTTCCTGTTTCACACAGACACACACTTCTGTATAGCTGCTGCTTCTGATACCATCACTTCTACAAAGACAGCAGCCAGCGAGCGCAGTACATCCCTTTTTTTGTACGCATTTTTCAACTGCGACCTCTTGTTGTGACAGTAAACACTGATGCTACAAAGGTTCAAAAGTTATTTTGCATGATGAAAAGAAAACAGTCTAATTCTTATCAGTCATGTGCAGAATTATGAAATCCAAACAGTGGCTGTTTGTCTTCAGGAGTAATGCTGTTTACTCAAAGCAAGTGACTTATCGGGCACGTTTCGCTGCACGTTCAGTTTGCAACAAAGAAAAAGTCACAACTGTCTTTGGTCTTTTTTTCATGTCCCCATTCTGCCCTTTTATTAGGCCTACATGTTGCGTCTTGTAGCAGGTATTAGATTCTCCTAAATCACACTATTACCGTGTGGAGTAACAGAAAAGTATGACTAATGACATCCTGTGGTACACTCTGTCTGACAGGATGTACTGAATCATACCTTCACCAGTGGACATGCTGTTAGCATAAATAAGCATGCTGTGGTATTTATGTCCTCTCTTTTTCCTGGTATTCAAACTCGTAAAATTTAAATACTAGAAGGAATGTATAAGGCTCAAAGACAATGCTAGAAGTTATCCCTACAAAGTGGAGATCAGACAATCACTTCTGTTCATTAAGTCTCAAGAAATGATGTCTCTAGGCAGTGTCTGCAGAATATGACTCAAAGTGTGATACTGTGTGCTCTTACCTGCTCAACCCCACTTTGTCTTAACAAAAAAATCAGCCTGGCTCTTTTCTGCGTTAAGTAATGTCCAAGTGATACAAGTGCAACGTTAATGATAACATATTAATATTAAAGACAGGCTGAAATTCATTTAGTTTCTCAAGCTATGACTCAGTAAAACAGGGGAGATGTTTGAAATAAAAGAAAAAAGAAAAAGAAGTGTCAAAAGCTATGCTAGCAGCTGAACTACCTTAGAAGTAGTCTCCTATAAACTAAATATTAATTTCAGCATGCTAACATGCTCCAGATGCTAACAGACATATACTTAAGTCTGTTAGCATACTAGCATAAGCAAGTGCATTTATAGGTTACTTTGATTTATGACTAACTATACCTGTTAAACACATAACATTCAAACCTTTAATTGTATTTGTAAAGTGAGAATAAGCAGATAAAAGGATGTTAAATGTGCTAAACATCAGTTAGCACTCAGAAATTAGACTTTAAAGCTGTTTCCACTGAAGGAACTCCTGAAAATCTCTGGAGAATTTCAGGAGGACTGAACGTCACCACTCACTCACTCACCCACTCACTCACTCCCTCACCCACTCACTCACTCACTCCCTCACCCACTCACTCACTCACTCACTCACTTGCTCGAAATAATAACATCTTTGTAAATTCATGATTCATGATTTTTTTTTATTGATTTTGTTTATATTTTACATTTTTAAATTCTATTTTATATATTGTAATATCTTCTTATTCTGTATTATTTAAGTTGTTTCTAGTTCTGTTTTATTTCCTTGTTAATTGT